GGGGAGCTGATAGCGTTCATGGAGGTGATGGGACTGACACCGGTGGACTGTAGGATGGTGATGAGCTGCGGGGCCCAGTGGGGTAGATGGGGCATATGGCAGGGGTAATAGATCATCATCTGTAGCCCTCTGAAAAACAGGCTTCTTAGGCCACTGGTCTCAGAGCATGTGCACTGCTGGGACCTTGCACTGTCCCTCATACACGCAGAATCAGATCCATAGGGGCATAGTTTGGGCAATTTGTAGCCAGGAGTCGATGTAAGGAAATTGATCTGGATGGCCAGGGTCCCCTGTCACTGTCTCATATACAGCCCTGATGGTCAGTAGGGAGAGGGTTCCCTCCGATGGCCAGTCCACATTGATGGTGGGCCATTCAAGTTTGCAAAGGGTTCAGAGTGTTCTAGGAGTCATCTTGACTCCATAATCCCCCAAATATCCCTTTTTGAAGTTCTTGAGCATGAATTCTAAGTTTAGAAGTGGTCCCTCCCATGGCAACGAAAATGCCTATGAGAGTAAACAGGTTATGGGGGGGTCAGGACCTGCAAATGGTGTCCCAGAGGCAAAAGGGGCAAGTTGCTTCCAGGAGGATGAGGTGGCAAAGAAGTCTCCGCAATTGGGTGCCAAGGTATACTTCACCCAGGGCCTCAAAAAAGCACCTACCATGTTGCTTGTGGCAGCAAGGGGTCCCCACCACTGGCCTCCTGTGTTGCCCTCCCTGCAGTGCTGACACGGACGAACAAGGGTGGGGTGCCCCTCCTCAGAGAGGAAGAGCCATTCAGTTATCTGCCTGACTGCATCCCTTGCAGGACTGTCAGGTTTGTCTTGGCTAAGGTGTACCTGTATAAATCCAGGGCCCGGTCGCAGTCTTCAGGGACTGGAATCACTGTTGTGCCATATGATGTGACCACAGAACTGCAGGTTATGACCCACTCAGGCGCTGCAGCGTAGTCGCCTTAGCACAACAAAGATTTATGCACTCACATAGACACTCAGAGTTTAAAACATTCCTCCCTCGTTTGGGAGGTCCTGACTGAACTGGCAGTCTCCTGCAATATGACCATGGGAGGTGATCAAGCTCCCCTTCTGCCCAGAGGCAGGCCAGAACTGAACTGGGTCTGAGTCCCAGGACTTTACCTGATCCTGATGTTCTTGGGTTTGAGCTAGTCCATCCCTCCACTGAGTCTGTCCGAGGATGGTGGCCCCAGAGTCATTGGAGTCCCAGTGAAGGAGGACCCGAGACGTTCAGGCGGCGCCACGCCATTCGAGGGCCGAGGCTCCTCTGCTCCAAGGGTGGCCCCCTCTTGGGCTGGTAGCTCAAGGGGCCAGTCTGGCTGGCTTCCTGGTCAGGGAACCAGAAATGTTACAGGGCAGACTGCTGAGAAACCAAGCGTCACTCAGAGGGTTGGAGAATTCAAAGATTTATTATGCCAGCAGGCCCAGAGGAGTTCACACTCCAAAATCTGAGCCTTGACTCCAAGCTTGCAAAGGGTTATGTAGGTTACATTCTTCCAGGGTAATCCATGCGGCAGGGGCCATGTGGTGGGGGCTAAGTTGATACAAAAGGCGGTCAGTGTTACAAAAGCAAAATAAAAAGCAAAAATACAGGTACAAAACAAAAAGCGGAAGTACAGGTGCAGGTTTAAGTTTTTCTGGGCTTGTCCCTGTCACCTGAAGCCTGTGCTCCTCATTTGAGACAATAATCATGTGCTCTTTACATCTGCTCAGTCCCCATGATAAGAATTAGATCTTTTTTCTGCTGTAATACACAGAAGATTGGAATTCATACCCACAAAACACTCTCTTGGATTTAAATAGGCTACTGTTCCGGCATAGATATGACAGGCTGTGGGTTATGCACCCCTTCCAGGGTTAGCTTAAAAAGTTAACTTAAAAACTAACTCAAAAATAAGTTGGCTTAAAAACTTAAATGTCCTTTTTTTAAAAAAGCAAATTATTCACAAACCCCAGATATTTGTTATCAGCATATTTCTACTGCAACACCCTCCATCTGACTGCAGTACCCAAGCTTGTCAAGATACCACATTTGGAAAACACCCCCTTGTACCAAAACACAAACACAAGATACAGAAGTCATAAAGAACTGACTATGTTCAACAACCCCAAATTTTTAAGCTACTGTTTAGGTAGCATATGTGTGCACATGTGTGTGTGCGTGCACACACACACACACACACACACACACACACACACACACCCTTTTGTTCACACAAAGAGAAAAGGTGAAATTCAAACTGGAAAAAAAGTGGCTAGGTGAAATTCAAACTGGAAAAAAAGTGGCTAATTTCCTTAATTATAAAAGAGTATTTATAAACCAGTAAGAAAAAAAATGAACTAATAGAAATTATGACAAAAAAAAAATCACCGAAAAAGAATATAAATGGCTGGTAAAAATAAGAAAAGGTGTTCCTCTAATAAACAGTAAAATATCTAACAGGTTAACAGAGTTGAAAAGCATGATCATTCTCAGTATAGAAGTGGGCATGGTGAATGGGTATTTTTCTTGGAAGTGTATATTGCTGCATTTTTTTTTAAAGGGCAGTTTGTCCATTTTATTTTTATCGTGTGTTTATTTGAAAATTCAGGAATTCCAGTTCTAGAAATATATTTCTACAAATACACAAAGAAATATGCAGAAGAATATCCTCGGCCATAGGTTTTATGATAGTAAATAACTAGACATAATCTAAATGGCTAATGAAAGAAAATTGGCTAAATAAATTACTCTGCCTCTGCCTAGTGGACTACTATGCAGACTGTAAAAAGAATGAGGCACACAGACAGGCACACACATGCACACAGAGTTATGAAAAATGCCTGTGCTAGATAATTAAGTAAAAAAAAAAAAAGAGAAGAAAAAAAAAGGGTGCATTTGTACATACACACACACACCCTCACACATATCGAACAATAGTTCTGAAAGTTTCCATAATAGCTCATGTTTAATGGGTTTTTACGATGTAGAGAATACTTTTATGGATTAATTCAATTCTTATAACAACTCTATAGAGCAAGACTTCTTTTTCTAACTGTTCCCAGATGAGAAAACTGAGACTTAGAGAGATTAAGGAACTTGCCGAAGGTCACACCCTTGGTCAGCAGAGTGAGCTGCTGAAGCAGCGTGTGGGCCAGGCAGGCTGGCTCCAGCATGTGCTCAAAGTACATGCTCAAAAGCATACTTTGTGACATTATTAATAGCAAAAGTGCAAAGAAGAGATTCAAACTGGTCCAGGCTGACAAGGTGCTTTCAGTAAATAAGGCTGAAGTGCCAGAGGTCGTCATGTTCCCGTCTGGGCAGCTCTGATGAGATGCAGACAAGAAGCCCTTTATCGCACTCTGGCCAAGGAGAGGAATGATTTCCTTTAGAACAGCTGAACACAATTCATGAGCTTCCATTTCTTCTCCCAACAAGGAAAAGCAAAATAATAGATCCCGATTCAAGACAGCTCATCCTTGTCTGTAATGTAGGCAAACAAACAAACAGAAACACTACTGTATCTTTTGAAGGATGGGGGAGCAAATTAGAAATGAGGGAATTCTAAAAGGTAAGCTGCAAACTTTACCAGATGCATTTTTTTTCTCTCCCTCTGCCTGGCAGGAAAACGAGGCAGTGGGGGCTTCTTCCCACTTACTTGCCCCTTTGAAACAGTGGCTGTGCCATTCTTTGAAGTATTTTCTGATCACAGGGACTTACGATGAGAAATGCCTGTGCAGCGAGGCCAGCTTGGTGGATGGCAGAAACAAACACAGTAGTCCTCCTTGTCTTCAGGGGGTGCGCTCCAAGATGCCCAGTGGATGCCTGAAACCGTGGATAGTACCGAACTCCATCTATACTATTTTTCCCTATACATACATACCTTTGATAAATAGACATAAATTAGATTATAAATGAATTAGATTTATAAATTAGGCACAATAAGAGATTCACAACAACAATAAAATAGAAGAATTATAGCAATATGCCAGCATCACTGCTTTTGCACTTCGGGGCCATTATGAGGTAAAGGGAACTTGAACACAAGCAGTGTGATACCGTGACAGTGGATCTGATAACGAGAAGGCTCCTAAGTGACTAACAGGCAGAACGAAAGGAGGATTCCTGTCCTGGTCAGGGCCGAACAGGACGATGAGAGACTTCATCATGCTGCTCAGAATGGCGTGTGATTCAAAACTGATGAATTGTTTATTTCTGGAATTTTCCATTTAATATTTTCAGACCGTGGTTGACCGTGGGTAACTGAAACAGGGAAAGGGAAACTGTAGATAAGGGTTGACTACTGTACTCTGTAAGAAACGTTTGACTCAGATAAAAGACAGGTTAAGCTGAACTCCAGCAAAGGCATATGAATAAATAGGGGGACTGAGGCTGTCTTTAAATAATGTCAGAACATGTGGGTGCAAAGTGAAAAAAAAAATGGCCATATGTTTACATTACTCTGAAAAACAGTCCCTAGGTGTTTGAGATTTTCTAGTAATGCTCTAACGATGATTAGCTGACTACTTGCCTGGGTTGCTGTGAATGCCCACCCTTGATGTGCTACAGACTTTTTAAAGTTGCCTCACCAATTGCAAGAAGCTGGTCAGAGCGACTGCTCACAAATTCCTTTTTTGAGGCTTGTAATGAGCAGAGCTTTCTCTTCTCATTGTCTGTCTGTTCATTTCCCATCAGGTAAAGTCAGCATGCTAGCAGACTGCGCTGCTGTGTGGGTTGCCATGGAAACATCCACAGGTCAGGTGGAACTAGAGCTGGCGCCCACCGTGGAGATCCCCACTGCCTGGTCCAAGAAAGCCCGGTGGCCTCGATGTCTGAAGCGCTGGCCTTCCCCCGAGAGAGTGGAGTACATCAAGGTACCTGTGGGTGGGACCCCAGCTCAACAGAAAAGAGGCTAACAGCATAACCCATCCCAGCATTACTGACTGCCAACCAGCTTCCAAAGGAAAGCTGAGATGTCACTAGATCAGTGGTTCTCAAAATGTGGGCCCCAGACCAGCAGCAGCACCTGAGAACTTGTTAGAAATGCAGATTCTCAGGCCCCACCCTGGCCCTGCTGAATGAGACTCTGTGGCAGGGCCCAGTGGTCTGTTTTTAACAAGCCCTCCAGGTGATTCTGATGCACACTCAAGATGGAGGACAGCTGCAGGAGAGAGGGTGGGTACAGCCTTCTCCCGTTAACTGTCCCCATTTCAAGTGGCCTATGTTTTCCCGACACTCCTGTGCTTGTCCCCATGAAGAATGTACTGCCCGCCCCATGATGGGTTCCCCAGACTAGTGCACTGCTTCTGAAATGGCTTTCTACTTCAGCAAGCATTGTCCTTCTCAGTTTCCCAATATTTTTCTCTTCCAGTCGTTTGGGTTTCACTTGTTGGCCTGTTCAAATTACCACTGGCAGCTGAGCTTCTTCCGGGCCGAGCAGGTGTTGCTGGAACAGCTGGATGAGGATGGGGGCTGCCGCAGGAAGTGCTTTCGGGTCATGAGGCAGCTCAAGGAAGAGGTCTGGTGTCCAGGCAGAAGGCCGGTCATCACGTCCCACCACCTGCAGGTGGGTGTGGGTGCTGCAGGGGCAGCTATGGTTAGGGAGTTCCTCCGGTGGCCTTGGTCAGGCCTGGCCAGAGCCACTTGGAAGGGGTGGTGTGTGTGATGAATTCAGGATGGGGCTCCAATATCCTTATTTTCCATCCCACAAATTATTACTCATCATAGAAATATATAAACTGGGCTGTATGTGTGTCCACGACACCCCTGCTCAGGGTAAAATGTCCTCTGCTTTCCTCCCTTCTCCTCTCCAGTTTCCTTTTCTTTCTTACTCTCCCTCCTCCTTCTCTCCTTTTCTCTCCCTTTTCTTTTATTTCATTCTACAAACCAACACAAGTGCTCGATGTGTGCCAGAAACCCTGCTGAGGTTCAGAAATGAATTACAAAATGTAGTTTCTGCCTTAAACCTTTGATGAATTCGTGCTTTCCCTGGTGTTGTGATGCTCTCATCCCCACTCGAGCCCAAGTGCAACCACTCACCCACACACAGACGAGCTACCTGCAGGGAAAACAGGAAATGGTGAGGTTACCACACAAACATTGCTGCAGACCTGTTTCCAGGCTTTGGACCTTCCAGGTTCCGAGTCATCAGGCAAGGATTTTTCCTTGTTGTGCCAGCACCTGCCTCCCCTTGCCCCAAACCCAACATTGTACATTCATTAATGCACTCACTCACTCTCTCTCTCACTCAGCACATGTTTTTTGAGATTAGTCTGGGCTGGACACCTGCTGTGTGCTCAGCACCTGGAGTACAAGGGTGAACAAACACAGATGTGGTTCCTGCTCTCATGGAGCAACTGGTCTAGCAGGGGAGGTGGACACTGATCAAACAAGCCCATGGGTGCGTGTGTAATCATGCAGCAAGGGGAGCACTAGCAAAGAGAATAGCATCTCTCCATAAAGGCTTGGAGCAGCAGAACCTGACGTGGACTTGGAGATTGGGGGACTTCCCTGGAGAGGTGGCCTTTGACAATACTCGCAACTCCTTCTTTCTCAAACTGGGGACCAGCTCCATAAAGGCTTGGAGCAGCAGAACCTGACGTGGACTTGGAGATTGGGGGGCTTCCCTGGAGAGGTGGCCTTTGACAATACTCGCAACTCCTTCTTTCTCAAACTGGGGACCACGCAGAGTGAATTGGACTCTCACGTAACAGCTGCATGCAGCACGTTGGGGTTGGGAGGTATCAGATTCTCGCAGGGCAACACAGCCCCAGCCTAGCTAGAACTGGTCCAGGAGCTTCAGACCTTCTCCTCGGCCCCAAAAAGGATGGAATGTCTTTCTACACAGGTGAGCACAGGTCCCTGGAGCAGCCACCTGTCGGTATGGTGCCTGCCTTCTATGCTCCTACCTGTGCCACCTCTCATTCAATGGACAAAACCATCTTCCAGCCCATGTCACTCTGCTCTAAAGTAACCTGTTTAAGGACAAGTACCACATTGGTCTTGTTCACTACCAAACCCCCAGTATCTCTCCCAATGTTTTGTGCATAGTAGCTCAGTAAATATTTGCTGAGCAAATAAATGAATGACTGGGTTCATATCTTATTCAAGTTTTTTTTTTTTTTTTTTTTGGCACAAAATCACTAGTCTTTGCTTCTTATCTTTCCTGATAACCTATCCTCCTTGACCTGGCCCCAAACCCGTTAACATCTCATTTTCACACACTGGGGCCTTTCTCTGGAGTTTCAACACTCTCAACATGTCCCCAAGCACATTCCCCTGAAAACATACAACCTGTTCTCCTGGACTGGGGGCATGTGCTTCCAGAAGACGATCCGATTAGTTGTGAGGATCTAGCTTCTTCTTGCTTCCCTTCTATTGGCCACACTAGAAAGAGGTAGAGTTGAGAAGCAAACTAAGTCTGACTCATATTAAACCTCAATCTTAACCATCGACTTCATTGCCTCTCGGTTAAGATGGACGGAAGCACCATTAAGTGGCATGGATATTTCAGGCAAGACTGAATAGGGCCACCATGGCCTCCCAGGCCAAGACCACTCTCAAAACTGCATTCCGCCCAGGGGCTTGCTCTTCTCCAATGGCTCCTAAGTCACCTAGAGGATCTTAAGACAACTCCTCAGAGAGTCTCTGTTTCAGGCCTTCCTGATCTACCTAGATGGCATAGTAGAACTGTGGATTCTCAAGGATGAGCATTTTTAAAAAGGGCGCTATTTGTGGAGAAAAGTAGGATAAACAAGAACAGTACTAACTGCTGTTCCCTTTAGTGTCCTATTTTTGGTCCGCAGGCAGAATTCTTTCAGTGAGGCATCACTCTGGAAGCAGATGTAGCTAGTGACAGACGTGGTGTTAGACCCCGTCCCGGATGTTGGCTTGAGTGTGCTAGATCCTTGACAAGGCTTCAGTCTAGGGAAAGGTGGAAGGGGTTGGGTTGCAAGACAGCAGCAGGAAGGATGTGGCAATCATAGTCACCTCACCTTAAGTCTGACACTGTCTTACAAGGTCCTCACCTCCTCCCCAGAGAGGCTCTTCCCCAGAACTGTTCACGTGAAGCAAAAGCTTATCTTCCATTACCTTATTCATTTCTTTTTTTTTCTTGTCCCTTTTTTGAGACCGGCTGCACTGCGCTCAGCCAGTGAGCGCTGTGAACGCACCAGTCATCCCTATATAGGATCCGAACCCGCTGCTGCGCTCCCAGCACCACACTCTCCCAAGTGCACCACGGGCTCAGCCCCCTTATTCATTTCTGAAATCTACTCAGGTGCATGGACCTGATGACAATGGGCTTAATTGCTTCGGTTTGCCTAGGGACATGAAAGCTTAACTAATAAGAGAAATTTAAAAAATATATTTTTTGCTATCTGGGTTATCTTGAATAGCATAAAATTATCTCTGACTCATTTACTCAAAACAATATAATCTAAATAAAAACATACTCAATATCTTGCTGAGAACCTACAACTGCTCTAAAAAACAAAGATTGTATAAAAGTACTCAATATATAAATCATAACATTAACATTTAATTAATTCATGTACCCAATAAACATTTATTGACTGCCTCTCATGAGCTAGTCCCTCTGCTGGGTGCTAGTGACATAATAGTGAATAAAAACAGGTGTAGTTCACTGCTGTCGTGAAGCTTATACTATAATAGGGAAGATGAGAAAATAATCATAAATATAAAAGCTACTGCTGTCATTGCTGTTTCTTATGAGAAGCATGTGGCTAAGAGAATGTGTAATGGGTGCAATAGGGAAATTTGATCTGATGGATGAGTTTTCTGAACAAAGAAGGGTAGAAAGTAGGTTCTATGCTGAATAAGTAGGATGTGCAAAGGCCCTGAGGTAGAAGGGAGCATAAGCTGAGGCCAGTGTGCTAAATGGAGAAAACAAGACAGAACGTGGGGCAAGGTGAGGCTAGGAAGGAAGGCAGGGGCCCAACCTTATAAATCAAACCATGTTAAAGATCATATTTTTAGTTAACAGACAATGGGAAGACTTTTAAGTATTTTTGAGAAGAAGGAACATGGATTTATATTTTGAGAAGATCATATTGGCTGCAGTGTGGATGGCGACAGATTGGAAGGTGACAGGAATAAGTGCAGAGGTCTAGGTGACATGTGGTGGCAGTGTGGCAGAGGATGGCAGTACGAGTACTGGAGATGGAGACGAGTGAGTAGATTTGAGAAATACTTAGGCAGGAGGATTGGCAGGACTTGACCAGGGGTGGTGGAGGATGAAGGACTCCTAGGCTTGGTTCTTGCATAACTGGCTGGATAAGCAACTCTGGAGGCAGATCAGGTTTGGGGGGAAGATCGTGAGTTCAGTTTGGACATGTTGAAACTGGGATGACTTTCAGATATTCAAGACATGCAAGGTAAGGAGGTCAGAGAAGTCTGGGCTGGAGAAAAAAATTTGCAAGTCGCCTATATTTAGTGGGAATTAAAGCCGTTGTTGTGGAAGAAACATTAAGCTGGGGAATGAACGTAGAGAGAAGAGGATCTAGAACTGAGCTTCCAAAAACCCCAACATTTAGAGGCAAGTGAGGGAGGATAGGCCTGCCAAGCAGCAGCTATAATGCTAGCAGAAAACCCAGAGAGGATTGGCTTGGAAGCCATCTAGAACTGAGCTTCCAAAAACCCCAACATTTAGAGGCAAGTGAGGGAGGACAGGCCTGCCAAGCAGCAGCTATAATGCTAGCAGAAAACCCAGAGAGGATTGGCTTGGAAGCCTAGTGAAGATTGGCTCTGAAGGGAGGCTGTGGGATTTAGAAACATGGAGATCACTGGGCCTCAACGAGGCAGCTTTGAGGATGAATGGCTGAAGAATCCTTATTGGAGTCAATTGAGGCAGGGGATGGGAGGAGAGGAAATGGCCAATAATAGAGCTGACTCTTTGGAGAAGCCTGGATTTGCAGAGACGTGAGAGTTCAGGCATGGAGGAGATGCAGGATTGAGGGAGCAGGAGACCTTGGAACAGGTTGAGAGGCCATTGAGGAAGAGGGTGACTGAACATGTACAGTTCCTGGAAGGTGGGACCCTGAGCCCTCAGGAGGATCAGCCACAGCGAGCAGGAGTGATGGATGCAGGGGGAGAAGAGGATCCAAATGTAGGCAGCACTGTCTGGTTTGGGGGGATGAGGGTTTCCATTTTCCCTCTAAAGTAAGAGGCAGAGGCATCTGCCTGGAGTGGGGTATTGCAGATTTAAAGAGAGGGGTGATCACTGGAAATGTCCGAGGAGAGTGAGAGAATAAATGGACCAAGAGGCATAGCAGACCAGCTGGATAAGACTGGACCCGCCTGAGGTTGGGATCATGGATTCGTGGCAGAGCCCATCTGCCCTGGGTGGCTTTCTCTCTCCTCCCAAGACCACGTAAGCTCCATGATTGTTTCTGGAGATGCCCTCCTCAGCTGCCCACCGTGATGTCTGACACCACCTCTTCCTTCTGCAGACAGTGCTCTTTTGGACTTGTGAGAAATACCCCCACTTCAAGGACTGGCAGGTCTTCAGCAAAGCGTTCCTGCGCCTGGCGAGGAAACTGCACAAGTGCGTGAGCCAGCATCTGCTCAAGCACTATTTCGTCAGGAAGAGCAACCTCCTTCGGGGTGCCAGCTCGAGCGAACTGGATGCTGTGGCTCAAAAACTGGCCGCCTTCTTGAGGGACCCCCAGATCAGCCTGGCCTGAGAGCTGCCCCTACCTGGGAGGCTCCTGGACATCCCATTCTGGCTTGACCTCATTCTCTGGATGGTTCCTCAGTCAGGTGCCAGGATCCTTCCCAGGAGACAAACAGCAGAGGAAATTACATCTGACCAGCAGCACCTGAGAGAGGAGACTGCGCCCTGAGATACCCTGGGGCCAAGCAAGCGTTTCAGCCCTAGCCACCTCCCTTGGGGACAGCTCTCACCACCTCCCCAAGCCACAGATTCTGAACTGATGACAGTTCTGAATTTATTCCCCTGCTTAGGCTCCGATTATTTGACGGGGGCATGGAGACTGAACCTCTGGAAGGCCAGACATTAGCCTGCTTCCCAGGAGCTCTTCAGCCCACTGAACATGGGCTCATTATCTTTCCGTTTGTAAAGTGGGGATGTGAATACACCTCCCTCAGAGCGGGGCTATGAGCCTGTGGCACTGCGCCGGTGCCTTTTCAAGGGAAGGCATTGGATCAACAGTGTTGGTTTAGTAGCTGGAGTTAGCATCCTGGATCAGTACCTGCGGTGGCGGCGCTGATGAAATGATTACTCCTGATGAGTTAGCGTACCTGCGCTTCCCTGGTGGTCTCTGAGTAGGGAGGGAGGTGTAAGCCAAAGCTGAAAGTGCGGCTCAGTCTGACTCCTGATCCCAGCAGCAGCCCTCACTTTGCTTCCCACACCATGGATGGAACTGCCTATGTTTACGAAATGAACTTGGGCTGTGCATGGAGGGAACTTCCTTATATTTATGGAATGAACTTGTTACTGTGATCTGCATAGTGTCGCTCACCTCTCAATACATTCCTTGGCTCACTTCATTCTCTCAGCCATTTGTTGATAAATTAATGCTCGTCAGGCACTGGGAATGCAGCAGAGAGCAAGATGGACAAGGCCTTACGTTATAGGGACGACACCTATTGGTGGGGACAAGGAATGAACCACAGATGAATAAACACAGTCATTACAGATTGAAGCAAGTGCCCTGTAGGAAATAAACAGAATGTTGCAGTAGTCACGGAAAGATCCCTGAAGGATGAAAATCGAACGGCTGTGAAGGGCTTCCCCTTCAGCCTGACCGCAGGCAGGTTTGGAGGGGCAAAGCCGGTAAGGAATCAGTGTTTTATTCTAAGATCAAAGGTGTGACATTCGGCCTCTCCTACAAGAGGGGTGTCCTCTTCTGACTTGCATTTGAAATGATTGTTCTGGTGATTGCATATACAGGGTCTGGTCTGGGGGTCACATAAGAGTCAGGGGCCCCGAAGGCCCTCAAGCCCACTCATTCTGAATGTCACTGAGGCCCACCAAGCAAAATCCTGCACAGCACACCCAACCAGGAATTCTTGAAGTTCTTGGTGGGATCAGTGGTTGCTTTTGGCATAATGCTCTCAACTTAAGGGGCTCCTTTATTACTTTTGAGTATTTTCCCCAAAATATATATAACAAAGTAAAATTTCTAAGAGCACGAACTACTGATTTTGTTTTGGTGAAAATTCACATGAAAATAATGTGAAAAATAATTATTTTTCAAAAGTACTGTAACCAAATGGTGTGGTCCCTAGGCTATCACATAGGAAATCATGGTTTTAAAAATGTTGAAAAAAGTCTTTCCAAACATACAGTAAGTTTACAATTTTTAAAAACACAAAGTGATGAACAAACCACTGTTTTGTAAAATAATCAATATTCTCATTTTTATATTCTTGGATCTTGGGAAACTTCATTTTTGAGAAGGTGGCAGATGTAACAAGTTTTGTTTTATTTTGTTTTTTATAATGAAACCATCTTAAGCAAGTTTTAAGACAGCTATACTGTTACAGAATGCCAAAACGTGAAAGTTGACTGTGTCATTGATTCAAAATGTGTGTATGTGTGTGGAGAGGGTGGGATTGACATTCTCCACAGTCTGATTCCAGTAGATTCTTCCCTTCTTTCCCAGTAGATCTGTGGTTTTTGGAGAAAGTAGGGCTTTCTGCAGATTCCTGGGTGTTTCCACTTTTGACCAGCAGAGGGCAGCAGGAAACCACATATGAAAAGAGCGAGGCCCCTCCCATATTCATTCTCAGAGCCCAGCAGGTGTCACCCCACTCAGCCCACAACTTACACCTGGCTCCTCCAAAGAAAGGAATCAGGGACAGTGGATTTCAGCTGATGCCAAATTGTTGCCTTTACCTGACATTTTAGCCAAAAATTACATTCTGCTTAGAGCTCAGATTTTTAAAGGGAGCTTATGAGAAAACAGCCCATCTCGAGGACTTTAGAGCATTCAGCTCCATTCTGTTTTCTGGGACAGATTGCACAGCTCTGAAAAGTCTGATAATATTGCTCCTTTATTCTGGTAAGTTTTTTTTTCCCCCCTAATCCCACGAGACCCTTTCCATCCTTCCCCACTCTCGTAGGCACAGGACTAGGTTTGATAGTGGAATGGTTGGGATTCAGCCACTGTTGACTGGCCTGCCTGAGGTTCCCTCCCAGCTTCAACACTGTGTAACACCTTGGCAAGTTGTTCAACCTCAGTTTATATGTTGAAGCCCTAACCCCCCCAGCTCCTAAGATTGTGACTGTATTTAAAGAGGCGAGTAAGTTAAAATGAGGCCTTTAGGGTGTGGTTCTAATCCAGTCTGACTTGTGTCCTTATAAAAAGAGAAGATTAGGACAGAGAGAGAGAGAGACTAGAAATGTGTCTGCACGCCCCCCAGCTCCTAAGATTGTGACTGTATTTAAAGAGGCGAGTAAGTTAAAATGAGGCCTTTAGGGTGTGGTTCTAATCCAGTCTGACTGGTGTCCTTATAAAAAGAGAAGATTAGGACAGAGAGAGAGAGAGACTAGAAATGTGTCTGCACAGAAGGGCAACGATTCACAAGCCAAAGAGAGGGGCCTCAGAGGAAATCAACCCTGCCTGCACCTTGATCTTGGACTTCCAGCCTCCAGAACCGTGAGAAAATAAATTTCTGTTGTTTAAGCCACCCAGCATTTCGTTATGGCAGCCCTAGGAAACTATCACAGGCATCATGAGAGAATACATATCTCATTGCTTTGATGAGAAGAATAAATAAGTGAAATAATGGATGTAAAAATCTCTTAGTTTAGTAACTGGCATGGGATAACTGCTGAATAAATGTTTATCATTTTAGATGCCTAACCTCTGTGGCATTTGCTCACCTCTGCCATTCCTGATAACTAACTATACCATCCCATATATAAATTCTTCATAAAGAAAATAGAAACATCACAAGGAAAACATGCAGAAAATTTCACAAACCCATTTTTCTCTTTTGTCCATCTTGCTAAAATAGAGGCAGTATCTCTCCTGAAAGGCCATTGTCTCCACATGCGATGGCTCTGATTTCTCCCAGCTTCTCAGTCTTTCCATTTATTTCCTCCGTGTCCTCCTGCAACTGCTGCCTGCCTCTTCTCCCTTCACTCTCCAGCTTCCTGCATTACTATATGTGTCTCCACTTTCTCGCTTCATTTATGTCTTTTTATTGTGAAAAACATTCATATAACCAACACCAATATACTTTTCCTAGATGAAAAAAAAAAGTAGCCCATTGACAGGACTTCAGAATTCTCCTAGTGCTGTTCCCTCCCTCAGACCCTCTCTCCCAGACATAGGTAGTCATAGGTATCCCAGATTTTGTGTTAATCCTTTTGCTGCTTTTCTTTATAATTTTACCACCTACCATTAAACTTAGCCCCCAACATTGTGAGATGCATTATTATTTCGTGTTTAAGAAAGAAAAAGTGCCACTAAATGTAAGACACCACTGCTTATAAGACGCATCCCAACTTTACACAGATTAAAATGTGAAAATAAGTATGTCTGAGAATCAAAAAACAGGAGCTGCATGCATCCCAAACAATGTGTTTTTTGTTTTGCCTGCCTTTGAGCTTTACATAAATGGAATCATACTGTATGAAGTCTTCTGTGGTTGCTTCTTATATGCACAGATTAGTTTTCTTCTGGCTGGAGCACTGTATATGCTGTAACACTTCCTATAGTGAGAGCATGAGAGCAAAGAGTTTTCATTTCTTAAAATTGTCATTTGCTTTTGTTCTTGAGAGATAGTTTCAAATTCAGGTTCACATAATTTTTATTTATTTGTTTATTTTTTGTTAGGACATTAAGGATATTTTTTCTACTGTCTTCTGTTGTTGCTATTTACTAGTCAGTCATTAGACTGTTGTTTCTTCATTGCGTATCTGCCTTTTCTCTCTCTCTTTCTCTTTCTCTCTTTTTCTTTTTCTTTGGATTTTTTAGGCTTCCTAAATCTGAGGAATTATTTCTAGTAATTATGGGAATTGTCAGAATTTGACTCTGAAATATCATCTCTTTTTTTTTTTTTTTTGTCTTTTTTCCGTGTCCGGCAACGGATCGCAACCCTCAGTGTCACCCCCGTACTG